CCTAAACCTCTAGCTGTAAAAACCTGTGGGGGTTGTGGCAGCAGGAGAAACTCCCAGCCTCACAGGAGAGTTCATTGGAGAGCCCCACCAACTCCCAGAAAGTACACAAACCAATCCACCGGGGAATCAGCATCAGAAGGGCCTAATTGGTTTATGGGTAGAAGGGGAAGTGACTGAAAGCAGGGCGAGAGCCAAGGAAGCGGTATTTTTCCCTCTCTGACCCCTCTCCCACATACAGTGCCATAGTGCAGAGAGGCGCATTGCCCCGCCATGGCAAATATCTAAGGCTCTGCCCTTTACACTGTAACAGGAGCACCCAGACAAAGAAATATGGCCCAAATGAAAGAACAAATCAAAGCTCCAAGAAAAAATACAACTAAGTGATGAAGAGATAGCCAACCTATCAGATGCAGAGTTCAAAACACTGGTAATCAGGATGCTCACAGAAATTGTTGAGTATGGTTGCAAAATAGAGGAAAAAGTGAAGGCCATGCAAAGTGAAGTAAAGAAAAATATATAGGGAACCAACAGTGAAGGGAAGGAAACGGGGACTCAAATCAACGATTTGGAGCAGGAGGAAGAAATAAACATTCAACCAGCACAGAATAAAGAAACAAGAACTCAAAAACAATGAGGAGAGGCTTAGAAACCTCCAGGAAATGTTCCAACATCTGAATCATAGGAGTGTCAGAAGGAGGAAAGAGAGAGCAATAAATTGAAAACTTATTGGAAAAAAAATAATGAAGGAGAACTTCTCCAGTCTGGCAAAGGAAATAGACTTCCAGGAGATCCAGAAACTCAGAGGGTCCCAAACAAGTTGGACCCAAGGAAGCACACACCAAAGCACATCATAATTATATTACTCAAGATTAAAGATAAGGAGAGAATCTTAGAAGCAGCAAGAGAAAAGGAGACAGTTACCTGTAAAGGGGTTCCCATAAGCCTATCAGCTGATTTCTCAAAAGAAACTTTACAGGCAAGAAGGGGCTGGAAAGAAGTATTCCAAGTCATGAAAGGCAAGGACATACATCCCAGATTACTCTATCCAGCAAAGCTGTCATTTAGAGTAGAAGGGCAGAAGAAGTGCTTCCCAGATAAGATTCAGTTAAAGGTTTCATCTTCACCAAGCCCTTACTATATGAAATGTTAAAGGGACTTATCTAGGAATAAGAAGAAGATCAAAACTATGAGCAGTAAAATGACAACAAACTCACAACTATCAACAACTGAACCTAAGAATAAAAACAAAAACAAAAACAAACTAAGCAATTAACTAGAACAGGAACAGAATCACAGAAATGGAGATCACATGGAGGGTTGTCAACAGGTAGGTGGAAGGGGAGAAGGGGGTGAAAGGTACAGGGAATAAGAAGCATAAATAGTAGGTATAAAATAGACACGGGGAGGTTAAGAATAGTATAGGCAATGGAGAAGCCAAAGAACTTATTTGTATGACCCATGGACGTGAACTAAGGTGAAGGAATGCCAGCGGGAGGAGGGGTGCAGGGCGGAGGGGAATCAAGGGGAGGAATAAAGGGACAAGTGTAATAGCATAATCAATAAAACATATTTTAAAAAAAACAAAATAAAATTAAAAAAATTAAAAGCCTATCAGCAGCTCCCGAGGCTACTTACTGCCTTGCTCCTGTCTAGCAGGTAATGAGAGCATCTCTCTCCCACCAGCCAAGTAACTCCCGACATTCCTTCTGCTTGGATCAGCCTGATTCCTGCAGCCACCCATGACCCAATCCTAGCGACGGGGAAAGTGAAATGACTCTGGGTGGCTTAGATCAGGAAGTCTCAAATTCTGGTCTTTGGACCTCTTAACAGTTCTAAAAATTACTGAGGATCCCAAAGAATTTTTTTAATGGAAGTTTTATCTGTTGATATTTGCCAAATCAGAAATTAAATTCTCTTTAAGACTGGGTTAATGGAAGACAGCTGAATTTTTATATCTACTGATGCACTCAACCCATTGCATTTTTTTTCCTGTTACCGTATATGAGGAAAATCTGCTTCATATCAATATGCAATTGGAAAAAAGAGGAATATTTTAATAGCTTTTTAAGAAAATTGTGGATATCCTTTTTTGATAATAACACCAAAACTCTCCAAGAAATAACTTCTAAAAGGTGTGTTGCACTGTGGAATCTGAAACATTATCTATAAACTTTTCATATTATTTAAATAAAATCCATCATCTGCCTTGCAGAATTTGGATTAATTATTTTGTAACATTATGCATTAGCCATTTGGAAAACATTGATTCACTGAGTAAATGCAGGTTTTCCAAATGTTGACACGTTATATGTTACCCAATTTCCAAAAATCACATTCATTAATATCACCATTGATCCCATCAGAAGAGTCCTTAAATATTGAGAAGCTGTCAAGCTCATAATAATACAAATTTTCCAAAATTCTAAATTTCTTTTGAAAACTGGATTTTTAAAAATTATTATGGGCAACAGTCAACTGTTTTCCTTGAACAGGCAGGCTCACTTAGTTCATTTTCAGGAAAATGTATATCAAGTATCCAAGTTGGAATAATCATAATTTGTCAGGTATTTTCTCAAGTAAAAATGGCCTTCCATGAAATAAAACAGACAACTAGTTCAGCTTGCCCTGTAAATGATTGCACAATGGCTTGTCCTTAGAAAATTATCATACTTTAGTTTGTAGCAGAAGTATTTTATGTGCAGTATTTCATTTTGTCATTTATTAAAAAGATGCATATTCAATAATTGAGATTCTAATAAAGTTAACAATTTTTACTGATCTATCAAGAACATTGTTAAGTGAAACTGCAATTTTTTTTTTATTTTTATTTTTTTACCATGAGTATCTGATGGTGGACAATATTGGTATGGTTTGGCCACTACTTTAATTTGAGAAGGCACCAGAAGTTTTGCACATTTTTGTTTTTGAACCATCAGTGAGAGAGGTAAGTAACACCTTAGGTTATTGTGAAATAGTTTTGACTTTAGAGATTTCCTGAAAGGTCCTCAGACACCACCAAGAATCCATGGACCATACTCTGAGAACCACTAACTTAGACTAATTCAACCCCATTCATGGAGCTAAGTAGGGCAAACTTACCTTAGAGGGGAAGGGTGAGATGGATGCTGGGGACAGCTAAATGCCTGCTAGCAGAATGACCAGAGTAATGAGCATAAGGATCTAAAGAATTAAAAAATCATGGTTGCTGTCCTAGATTTACAGTCTCTTTGCTAGGAGGGCCCAGAAACTTGTTTAACACCAGGCACTGACCTGAAGAGATTCCAAGTGAGGCTTTGAGATCTGGTGGCTGATCCTAATCTGTTTGGGGATCTCTGCCTTAATCCAGAACAGTAGCTAAAGATGGCCCTGTGGCCGATGAAAAGGATGTTTTGTGGCTGGGCCTATCTTGTTGCACAAGTGGGTCAGTCTGTCTCCCCACCAAATGTGAGTGGGCTGAATGAGGTAGTGGGTACAGGGTAAGCTAAATAGGTGTCCTATTAGGCTGAGAAAGGAGGCAGCTTCATGTGCCCATTCTTCCTCACCACCACTTTACACCCACTCTTTCAAACCATGGTGTTGCTGGCCCCCAAACAAACCAAAATTCTTTCAGGGCCTGGTTCTATGGACAAGGAGTATCTGGGAGAGAATAGAAGAGTAGCTGAGATTAAAAGAGGTAAAGTGTCTAATCAAGTAGGTGGGCCTCAGGCTGGTCTCCGAGAGAGAGAGAGAGAGAGAGAGAGAGAGAGAGAGAGAGAGAGAGAGAGAGGTGCTCATCATTGTCCTTGCAGCTGTCACTGAACCAGGCAGCTGTTCTGCCTGGCCAGCCTTGGCCAACCTTCTGGATTAGATCTCTCAATGACAGCTTTTGCTCCATTCTCCTACACCAACCCCTAAATGCTCAAGTGTTCTTGCATTAGAGTAATCCAGAAACATTTTTATGGAAAAATCTCTTTGGGAGGTGTGAAGGCAGTCTTCCTATCATTTCCTTTCCAAGACTTCCCTCCTGACCTTTGTAACCCAGGTGCAATTTTTTTTTCCAGAACTCCTGCTCCCAGAGAAGAATACAGACATCTTCAAAGTCTGTTGGGAGTTGTGCAAACCCTGGAGAAGCCCTTTCTATAAGAGTGACAAGACTCTCGCTTTATGCAAATATAGTTGGCTCAAAATCTAGGATCTTCCTTTTCAAACAGAAAGTGCTGTCACAGACACATAGCCATGATATCGCTCAGAGTTCATTAACCCGAAAGGAAATTCTGAAAGCAGATTAACTTCACTCAAGAGTCAGCAAAACTTTTTAATATCTCAATTTTGGGATTCACTTATATTTACTTTTTTTTAAAAAAATTCTAGAATCAAAGGGGACGCCAGAGGTATGGAAGTGGGTGCTCCAAGTACAGGTTCTGATGCTCTGCCACTAAATGATTTGGGGTGACTCCTGTTCTCTGGGCCTCAGTTTCCCACCTGTAAAAGTGGTGGATAATCAGCGCGTTCTCGCTTATCCTACACGTGGGACAACATAAGGCTGTTCCACAAGTTGCCAGGCTGCCTTCGCGCTGGTCTGGAGGGCCCCTGGAGACCGGAACCAGTGTCAGCCTGGGGTGCTGTCCCGGAGAGCAAAAGGACTACGTAAAGCCCCTTCATTCACTGGCTCCGCACCAACGAGTCCTCTGTGCAGTAAAAGCCTATAACCAGTCTGAATACACCTTTAGTTTCTTCTATCATCTAACCGCATGCAAAGTTCGAGAGAGCAAGGGGTGCCCGGGACCCCTGCCCCAGCACGTCCACCGCTCTGCACGAGCCCACCCAGGGGAACTCGGCTTCCCCAACCCTGCAGGGTGGAGGGACTGCGCGTCCTAGGGGCGGGGCCGCCGCTGTAGCCCTCGCGCACTCCGACTGGCCTTTCTTGTCCTCGTGACGCGCGGCCCGCCCGCACGCCCCTCCTCCGCATCCGTGCGGGGGAGCAGGCGGTCCAGACTGAATGGGCGCGGGCGCGGGCGCGAGCGCGGCGCTGGGGGGCGGGCGGGCGCGCGGGGCCCTGGGCTGGCTGTCGGCCGGCGACCCCTCCCTAGTATGCGGATGAAAGAGGCAGGCGGCGTGGAGCGGCGTCCCCTGCAGCCGCGATCCAAGGCGGTGGCGGCGGCACCTGCCGGCCGAGGTACGTGGCGCAGCCCCCTCCTCCAGGCAGCGGGGCCCGCGGGCGGGGGGCGGCAGCTGCGATCCGTCGTTGCCCTAGTCTGACTGTGCCTGGTGGCTAGCCCCAGCCCCCGCGGCAGCCCCCGCGGTTAGCGCCCAGGACACGGCGCCCCCAGACGCTTTGCGGGACGCGGGCTGAGAGTCGTGGCCTCGGGCCGCGTGAACGGGCGTGGGGCGCTGCGGCCCGCGCAAGTGTGGAGGCGCAGGGGTGAACGGCGGGGGTTTTGAGTCCAGCCGCGGTGGCCCTTAAACCCCCAGTTTTCCGCAGCGGCTCGGGGTTTAATTCATTGCTGGAAGCTTCCAAGCCGACAGAGCCGAGTTAACTCATTGCCCAGGAACGGGATTGGGGGGTCCCTTTACAAGGTAACTAGCAGCTCCCGAGAAACTGTCCTTTGCATCCATCTGGAGGGCGTAGCGTGTGATGTGTGCAGGTAGAAATTCCCCAGTGACCTTTCTTGCCTCCACTCTGTGCCCAGCCCTGCGGAAGAGATACGTTATAGTGACCTTTGGTTTCTTTTGAATAGTAAGCAGTGACTTGACCTCCTAGGCATGCATTTATTATGCGCCTTTCGAGCGTTTAGTAACCGAAGTTTCTCGGAAAGCATCTCAGAGGAGCTGGGCAAATAGGGAGAGGCGGGGTCCTACCCCTACCCCGCACCAGTCAGGTGACCTTGACCGACACCTATGCCTCTGCGGGGCCCGTTCTCCTGGTGTACTGGGAGGCTTGACCTGCTCATTGCCGAGGCCCTTTCCAGGGTTCCGTGGTTCTGACCGCAAAATGTGTTTAGGAGTGAGGAAGATCCTGCAGAATCACTAGCTGACTAGAAAGACTGATTTTATGGCCTTATGTCTTAGTTTATGTGCTATATGGCCTCTGCTTAATTAGGTGTAGTTCGTTTAAAAGAGAAAATTACGTGCTGTGCTTTATCTGGCACCTTTGGATTGCCTTGCCCTTTGTGCCAAGCACGTTAGACGTTGGGGTTATAAAGAAGAAGGAGACTGATCTCCGACCTTCTGGGCTTGTGACTGCTAATCCTCTTGCACAGAAGGATGCTTGTCCTGAAGCTGTGGAAGAGGAATCTGTGTCTGTTGAGTGAAGAGCACAGGCTGAAAAACAGTCAGGATGGGTTGTAGTTTCACTTGTGTAATCCTGCAAGCCTGACAGCTTTGAAGAATGCCTCGTATCTGTCCTGGTATATCTGGGTATCACCTGAATTCCAACCAGTGCTTGCTTGGGCAAGGAGAGGCTGCTGCTGTGAGCGCTGTAACCAAATGTCATGGGTCTTTTTATATGTCTATCCATTATAAGAGTGCTGCTGTTCCTGTGAGATGAGATGAACCTTGCTTATAATTAGTAGCCGTTTCTTCCTCTAGGCAAGAAAAGAAATGGGTGAGATAAGGCATGAAAGCTTTATGGAGGAGAGAAAGAGAGGGCTAACAGGCATAAATTCTAAAAACTTGCATTTATGACTTTTTTGAAGATGCTTACAATTTTGGCACAAACTACCAAACTGTCACATGTTATCAAAATAGATTGATATTGAATTTTAAGGATATATTCAAGGCAGAATAAGAAGAAACCCTTTGTTCTTTGATATGCCTCCTCTAGTTCTTCCCTGCTCTCCTTGCTGGGCTCAATGAGGGGCATTTATCTATCAAGTTGGCTCTTGGGAGATGAGTGAACGATAAAAAGAGGATGTTAACAATTACCTGGATGATGTTTCAGTCTTCATATTTTTATGGGGCTCCCCTATGTATGTATTAAATTTGTTTTTTCTCCTGTCACTCTGTCTTTTATGTCAATTTAACTGTCAGGCCCACCCAAGAACCTAGAAGGGAAGAAGGGAAACATTTTCTGTCCTTACACTCCCTTCCAGTCACTACCTCCTTCAGGGTTATCACTGCTGGAATTCCTGTGCTTGTAGAAATGGAATCCAACCGTGTTTGTTTTCTTTCCTCACAAGTTAGATTTCTGTTGTAGTGCGTTTACTCTCTGATTTGGCCATTGGGTAAATAATATACCACATATTTATCTGTACACTGTTGATGGACATTTGGGCCATTTTCAGTATTTGGCTGTTACAAATAATGCTGACATGACTGTTCCTTTACCTGTCTTTAGTATACAGAAATGCATGTGAATTTCTGATGGGGGTATTCAAAGGGGCGTGATTGCTGGGTCATGAGTGCGTGCATGCTCAGCTTTGAGAGCTACAGACAAAGCTATTTTATTCCAATTTTGGAATAACTACATTAGTAGTTCCTCACTACTAGCTGAGGAGTTCCACGTCACTTTTCACCACTTTGCACCAAGGAGGCTGAGGCAGTAGTTGGACCAGGACTCACATCGGACTCTACCTGGCTGAGCCCTATATGTTCTGGGCAAGTGCAGTCACCTCTAGGCCCAGGCTCCCCTCGGATCAGGTAGCAGGACAGGCTGAGCTGTGGGAACCCTTTCAGCTCCAAACAGTCCTTGTCTTCAGAAGAATTTCTCTGGCCAAACTGTGTCGCTTTGTCCCAGCCCCCTTGCTTCTTCCTTAGCTTTTGTACTATTGTACTTTCTATACCTTCTGCTTCTACGTTCTATTTCTGCTTGTACTTTCTACTTCTCTGACCTGCCTTCCTTGCACCTCTGGATTTTTACTTAAGAATCCCCCTGTGTCCTAGAGTTTTTTCAACTGGTGTGCTACAAGAATTTTTAAAACATGCAACACCTGACTATTTAGTCAGGGGCACTGACCTCCTTTCCCTTAGACTGTCAAATTAAAAAATGACAACAGCCAAAACAATAGCCATCTGGTGTGAATGAATCAAAATTATACCTATTTATTTTGTCAGATGGGCAAAAATATATACATATTTTGGTGTACTGCAGAATTTTAGTAATTATTTTATGTGTGCCATGAGATGAAAAAGTTTGAAAATTGCTGCTCTAGAGGAAAAGCCTATTTTTCCTTTGTTTTTTGAGGCCATATAAGACATTTTTGCTCTTCTCTTACATGCCTTGGAAAAATATCCAGGATTAAGTGATTGGATAGTTCAGCAACTCCTACACCCATGAATTTCCCTGTTTTCCTTAAAGTTTTTAATATCTCGAATCATAGTAGTCAAGTATCATGATATGATATGATTTGATTTATTCAAGGAGGGAAAATTGATGAAAACAAATTAAATTTCAGAAGTCTATTTTGATGAAATAGTTCTGTCTTTTGAACTTAAAGGCTTTTTAAGGCCAAGTGTCATTTTCATAATAAAGGCATTACATGTATTACACTTGAAGCAGAGCTGTTTTTCTGTTACTCGTAAGAGTTCCTCCTTCCCTAGCCTTCCTCTCTCCTCAGCTTCTGCTTGTATTTGCTTATGCTTTTTCATCCTCTTCCATCTGTTCTTCACCTCCATTCTGTGGTATTTTACAAGGCCACCAATACATTCCTCTCGTGGCTTGTCATTTTCTGTAATCAAATCTTTAGTCACCCAGGACTTGGTGGCAGGTGTAGGCTCCTTGCTTGTCCTCCCCTAGACTAGAGCTGTCAAATGGAAATACAACCCAAGCCACACATATAACTTACATTTTTCAAGTAGCTACATTTAAAAAATTAAAAAGAAATAAGTGGATCAAAGTTTTAATTTTCCAGGGAGATAAAAAAATTCTTAAGTTCTGAATGTCAAATAACACAGCTTCAAATGATATAAAGTAAAATGTAACCGAATGATAAAAAATGTTGACAAATCTGCCATTATAGTAAGAGATTTTAGTATATCTCTTCAGGTAACTGATAAGAATAAGTTGAATGAAAACCAATAGTGAATTATTCTAACACATACACACACACACACACACAGAGTTAACCCTGGCCGGGTAGCTCAGTTGGTTAGAGTATTGTCCTGCTATGCCAAGTTGTAGGTTCAATACCCAGTCAGGCTACATACAAGAATGAACCGATGAATGCATGGATGAGGGGAGCAACAAGCCTCTCTCTCTCTCTCTCTCTCTCTCTCTCTCTCTCCCCCTCCCTCTCACACATCAATACATAAAAATTAAAGAAAACCCAACAAATTAATAAGCTTGATCAAAATGGTTACATAGAAAACATAATTCCAGCAAGTGAAGACTATACTTTTACAAAAATTGAGTGTATACCAGGTCATAAAATATGTTCCAACATATTTTTAAAAAATCAGTATTATAGAGACAAAGTTCTCTGAACATGATGCAACTAAATTACATATCAATTTTAAGAAACAATTAAAAAAATTTTTTTGAAAATTTGAAATTGAATGTTTTAATTTTGAAAGATAGAGAAGTAATAATAATTAAAATATGTATCAAAACTTTGGGATGAATTGTGTGCTTAAAAAAACTTGTGGGAGAGAAATGTGCGATCTTAATTGCTCATATTAGCAAGAAAAAAGGCATTACTGAGCTAATGAGCTAAATTAAGAAGTTAGGAACATAGCAATTAAAATAAACCCAATGAATGAGAAGGAACAAATTTTAAAAACAGGTGAAATTAATTTTAATACTATATTTTAGTGAACCCAATATGTTCAATATATTATCAAATCAAATTATAAAAATTATTAATGAGCCCTGGCTGGTGTGGTTCAGTGGACTGAGCACTGGACTGCGAAGCAAAGGGCGTTCCCAGCTGCGGGCCAGGTCCCTGGTAGGGGGCGCGCAAGAGGCAACCACACATTGATGTTTCTCTTTCTCCCTTTCTCCCTCCCTTCTCCTCTCTCTAAAAATAAGTGAATAAAATCTTTTTTAAAAATTGTTAATGAGCTACTTTACATATTTCTGTTCAACTTAGTCTTTGAAGCCTGGTGTGTCTCTTAAACTTACGTAGAGCACATTTCAATTTGGTTGGGCCACATTTGAAGTACTCAACCGCCACACGTGGCTTGAAGCAGTCGTATTGGACAGCGCAGCTCTAAATCTTAGCTAGTAAACGTTGAACTGAG